CTTTTTTTTTTTTTTTTTTTTTTTTTTTTTTTATCCTTTTTTGTCTTTTTTCGTGACCGGCAACGGATCGCAACCCTCAGTGTCGCGCCCGTACCGGACCGGGACCGGCCACGGGATTGCAACCCTCGGTGTTGCTCCCGCCCCTCGCTCAGCCAGTGAGCGGCCGGTCTGTATGTGGGATCCGAACCCTCGGCGGGAGCGCCACCGCACTTCCCAAGCGGCGCACTGTAGCAGTGCGCCACCGGGCCGGCCCCTGACTTTCTATTTTTTATCATCCTCTTTTTTAGAAAGTCCGTAGATACTTCTTGGGTGTTCACTAACCAGGCACTTTATGAAGCGCTAGATAGCAATTACTTCTAATAATTGCTTAGGACTTACAGAATCTGTATGTATATTATCTTAATATTCCTCCCAACAACCTTGTGAAAGTAGGAAACAAGTTTAGATATGCTAAATTTGTTTGTTCATTTACTCATCCATTCATTCGTCAACAAATATTTAAGTAAGCCCCTACTGTGTACCATTCCCTGCCAGCACTAGGGGCATAAAGAAGATTGAGACAGTATATGCCTTTGTGAACTTCCATAATTTGTCACTCAGGGTCATACCACTAGAAAGTGGCAGAGCCAGGTCATCTGATTCAGTACTCCTTCCTGATACCACAGTGCCTTGCAAAATAAGAATGGCCTGGGATCAAGAAGGTAGATTTATTTTGTATTATAAGTTATGAAAGTCCTCTACTTTAGGGAACTTAGAAGTAAAGAAAATGAGACTAAAAATGAACATTGTTATCTTTGCTCCAGAGCAGCAGTGTCTGCTTGGCAAGGTTTAGCAATGACCACTAGAACCAGAAATAGACCATGTCACTTTTTTTTGACCTGAGTCTAGGACTGGTCACCTCTAGTCTGTAGGAACCCCAAGTGGCTCTTAGTCTTTGCCCTGAGGGCCAGATCAATCCAGGATACTCATTTTACATTGGAACTTCTGCGGCTGGCGTTCCCTGGGCAAGAATAGGTTGAGTCAATGCAGGGATTAGGACTGTGTCATGCTGGAGTCCAGATCTTTCCTCCTCATTCCCATCAGGAATAGGACAGATTTCTAGGCATTAAGTGCCAGAGAGACTGGCACTTACTGTTCATTCTGTATGAGTTGTCAGAATCAGAAGTACCACTAACTTAATCCTCAGCAAAAGGGCATTTGGGGCAAAGGCGAGGAGGAACAATTGTTTTCTTAGGTGTCTTTCACTTTATGAGCAGCAAGAGAATTTTATGGTAAGGGGAACCATTTCTGTTTTTGTTTGTTTTGTATAATTAATAGCTTCTTCAAGATTTAACAGCATCTGGGAGGCTTTTGGGAGGAGCACAGCACTCTATTGGCCTGCTGTCATTTAGTGCTTCCTTCTAGGACGGAAGCTCTCCAGACAGTATAGACATGTGCCAGTAGGCCATTCTAAGCCAGAGCTGTTACACTGAATATCAGGAATTTCAGAAATTGCTTCAGAAAAATTATTCTCTGAAATGTGTTTAGATCTATTTCATCTCCTTCCTGCTCCAATTGTTTTTTTATCTTACACTACATACAGGTACATATGGAAAAGTGAAAAGCCACTCTACCACTCATCCATTGACAGATCAGTAGTTTATAAAAGAAGAGGTGAGTTAAATTTGCTCTTATTAATGCCAAGTAGCAACACAGTTGTAGAAAAGCTAAATATCTGGACTTGAAAGTCAATGCATAATTAATTTTTTTATTTCTCTAACAAATATTCCAATACATCATCCTCTGTAAGAAATAGTAACCTATTTCAGGAACATGCCATTATTCAAAACAGAGCTTAAGTTCCTGCCAAAATCTAAAATCCTTTATTTCTGTGACTTTTAGAACTCTTTGTAGAATTGCCTTTAGATTGTACATTTTTTTTTCTTAGTGTGGTAAAATGTACATAACATAAAGTTACCACTTTAACCATTTTTAAGTAGTTCTCCAATGCATCTCATCCAGTTCCAGTTTCCCCCAATGTTATCCTCTCACATTACCATGGTACGTTTGCCAAAACTAAGAAACCAACATTTGGATATTCCTATCAAATAAATTCCAGGCTTTATTTGTGATTTAACATTAGTTTTTGTTTTATTCCACTATTTCCAGAAATGGTGGTGAATCTGCAAAGGCAATTTAGCACACTGGTTGATTCAGTACCAACTATTGGGAAAAAAAGCCCTTCAAGTTTTCAGTTCAACTGGATAGCAGAAGACACTGATCAAACTTGTTTCCATGGACATAGCCTCCAGGGAGTCCTGAAAAAGAAAGGCCAATCGCCGATCACCAAGAATTCATTATATTGGCTTAGTACACAGAAATTCTGTAAAAGGTATGTAATGCTTTTAGAAAAAGTCACATGTAATTTAAAGGAGTTGACTATAATAAAAGCCAGATAGGTTATTTGTTGAAATTAGAAGATGGTGAGCTTATAGTCAAGAAAATCAGAATTATACATTGAGCCTTGTATAGGAGTTTTAGGAAAGCTGCTAAAAATCAAGAAAGATGATGTAGCACATTTAGCACAAACTGTCCCCACAACTAAATTAACCTGCCATTAAGCAGCCAAATAACAGCAGTGTCAGAGAATGCTGATCAGGAGAGTGCACTGCATTGTTTAGTACGTGTTATGTCTTTCTCTGAATAAGTTAACATGTATCATGCCCTTTACCTCTTAGTACTTCCTTAAAATTTCCTTAGTATTTCCTAAAAATAAGGATATTCTCTCAGTAACCATAGTACAAGTAGCAAATTCAAGAAATTTAATATTGATATGAAGCCTTTATCTAACCTACAGTCCATATTCCAGTTTTGTCAATACCCTTAGTATTTCCTAAAAATAAGGATATTCTCTCAGTAACCATAGTACAAGTAGCAAATTCAGGAAATTTAATATTGATATGAAGCCTTTATCTAACCTACAGTCCATATTCCAGTTTTGTCAATAGTCACAACAGTGTCCTTTTTGTAGCAGGATCAAGTTCAGGAATAGGTATTGTGTTTATTTTCTCTCTGTAGTCTCCTTTAATCTGGTTGTTCCTCACCCTTTCTTTGTCTTTCTTGACATTGGCCTTTATTCTTCGAAAATGTCAGTTATTTTATAGAATGTTTCTAGGTTTGAGTGTGTGTGTGATGTCTCCTCATATTTAGACTCAGGTTCTGCACCCTGACCAGAACAAGTGCTGTGTCTTCCTCAGGGTATCCCTTCTCACGGTGTGGCATCTGGAGACATGATGTCCATTTGCCACTCACATGTTCATACAGATCACTTGGTCAGTGTGGTGTGTGGGTTTTCCATGGTATAGTTACTATTTTTTCCCTTGTAACTAATAAGAAATCTGTGAAGAGACACTTGACCAGGCAAATACTGTTTCTCATTAAACTTTGCCCCCTTGATTTAGCACCCATCAGTGATTCTTACGCTAACCAATCTTGACGATCATGGTCGTAAACAGTAATTTTCTAACTCCAAGCCCCCTCTCCAATCCCAAATGTGTCAGTTGGCATCTTACTATAAGAGGGAGCCCTATCTTCTTCCCCATTTTTTTAACTTACTGATTATTTATTATTAGTATGGACTCATGAGTTTCATTTTTACTCATGAATTATAATTCATTACTTTTTTAAAATTTTGATGCTCAAATTGTTCCAGATTTGGCGAGTGAGAGCTTTATTTATTTTTTTATTTACTTTATTATTACTTATTTTTGAGCAGTTCCTTTATGGTACAACAAGATGTCCCACACTCAATATCTCCCTGTCTTACCCTGGAATCAGCCATTTCTCCAAAAAGCCTTAACTCCTTTTCACACTGTGTTTTAAAATCACATCAGAACAAGTACTGTATGTTTCTGATGCCACATTCCTCATTCTCCAAGCAACATACTCTCAGTTTTAATTTCCTATTAAAAATTTACAAGACACTTACAGCTTTCATAAATTATTATGGTAACATGAGCAAAAAATGTCAACAAAAAGGAAATAAATGATTTCTGAACAAAATCCTCTTTTAGATCACCAAGGGAACAGTTGGAACCATTATAAATTATGTAGCAAATTAGCAGAATATAGCAGGACAAGTTGGATTTAATGTTAGGAGACTTTGGTTCAAATTCTAGTTCTAATGCATACCAGCTGGGTGGCCTTAGAAAATTTATTTCACTTCACTGAGCCTTCATTCAAGTTCTTATCAGAAAAATCTATATACTCATGCCATCTTACAGAGTTTTGGTGAAAATTACATGAGATAATATATTTGAAAGCAAGCAGTATAGTACTTTATCAAGCACTGTGTGTGGCACTTAATTAAATGTTAGTTTTTTACCTTTTCTTCCTCATAACTAGGAAAATAAACGGAAATTTTAATTTGAGTTTGGTAAAGATATCTTGTGTAAATACTGAAATAAGTTTTAATAGTCATCCTAAAAATATGTACAGTTGACTCCCCACATATAAATGCAATCAGATAAATGAGAATAATGGAAAAATTTTTCAAAGGCCCAGTTCTAACATAGTACCCACCCTGTATCTGGGAACTAAAGCATATTGGCAAACATGAATGAAAATTTCCCTGGTTAGACCAGGAAGTGATACAAAAGATGAGGAATCATATTTTTAATTGGCGAAGTCCACAAGAAAAGAGAAATTACCTGAGAATCAATTGCATGAGTGAAGTCTATAGTATAATTGTGTTTATGTGTGTGTGTATAATTCAGTACTGATATTTTATTTTAGCCCAATTACTTAGTTTCTGCCTTGATTTTCTTTAGTCTCTGCATTTCATGTTCAGATTTTTCCTCATCTGTTAAATGTGGGTATGTGAAGTCTGGAAAATAAAGCGTGCTTCCGTGGTTATTGAGTTTAGAGAAAGTGGGATTAAAGATAGTAAACTGTATTGAGGAAAGTAATCTATATAGGGCATAGCAAAAACCTTTTCGTGTCCAAAAAAGTGAAACACTCAAGCTTTTGACTTAGATCAGGCTTAATTAATTATCAGCTCTTTGTCATACTGGCTTCACTGCATTCTCAGACCTCTGACTTAGCAGTAAGCTGCCTCCTTATTTTCTCTTTATTTTTTCTGAAGAGTTTTATATTCCCTATAAAAGGTGGATGTTGGGGGCCGGCCCAGTGGCGCACTGCTGCAGTGCGCCGCTTGGGAAGCGTGGTGGCGTTCCCGCTGAGGGTTCGGATCCCACATACAGACTGGCCGCTCACTGGCTGAGCGAGGTGCGGGCGCAACACCGAGGGTTGCGATCCCGTTGCTGGTCCCGGTCCGGTACGGGCGCGACACTGAGGGTTGCGATCCGTTGCCGGTCACGAAAAAAGACAAAAAGGAAGAAAAAAAAAAGGTGGATGTTGGAATAATACAGTATAAGTTATTTGGTTATTTGTTTTCATATGACTCAGAAAATTTCATCAGGTAGTGGGTAGTGAAGAGCTTATTACTCCCCAAAGTGCAAAATTTGTTTTTTCTTTAATTGCACTGAAAATCAACTCAAGAAGTATTTTTTGAGCACTTGAAAAAAGTATGTTACTGTCCTAAATCCCAGGTGGGGTGAAAGATAAATCAGGAAGTATTCTTTCTAAGTCCAGTTGAAGAGAAGGTATGTTTTTATGAGAGTATGTTTTCCCCATTTTCCTTCTGTAGTGTCTTAACAGTAGCTGTAGAGAGGAATGTGCAGATTAAAAACTACAAAGATAATTGGTGAGGTATATTGGTGTTCACTGTAAAATTCTTTCAACTTTGCTGTATATTTGAAATTTTTCATAATAAATGTTGAGAAAAACTAAAGAGAGTCATGCTACGTCATAAAATTCCTTACACCTTGTCTGTTTTAGCTTTTTAGTTTTATGTACTAATAGTGAAAAAGCCATTGAATAAGCTAGTTATATGACTTTGAAGTCACTTTGTCACTTTGTTTCTTCATATTTAAAACAGGACTAGTCTAATGTTTGTCCCTTGCTAAAATTCTCAGTAATGTATGTGTGAAAAATAAAAGTATAAAGGTTTTCTCATTGTGACCTTGTATTTGTAGAGTAGTCTCATCCCCATATTGACATAGAAATTGTCTATGAAGAAATTCCGTGGTAGCTGAGAGGACTTGCTGTTGAATCAGGCTTTTCCTCTGCCAGCTGTGCTACTTGCTGGTTGTGCTCAGGTTATTCACCATCTGCACAGCTGTGTTGTATTCTCCAGTTGTAGAAATGGAGATCATACTGACCTTCTCAAAACCTCCAGTGGCTCCCATCTCATTCACAGTAAGATCCCAAGATGCTGTGGTGCCCACAAACCCTGCCTGGCCTGCCCCTCTGCTGTTCTGACCTCACCTGCTCCCCTCATCTCTTTTCTCAGCAGCCTCTCAGCTGCTCCTTGAACTTGCCAAACACTCTGCATGCTTTGCCTTCTGTTTGGAATCTTCTTCCCCCATCTATCCACATGGGATTGCTTCTTTCAGGTTTTTGCTCAAATTTCCCTTCCTCGGGGAGGCCTATCTTTACCATCCTGCCTAAAATAGCACCGACCCCCTCCCCCCATAACTCTCTGTCCCCCTGGCCTATTTCACTTTTCTTTATAGCTTTGTCTTCGTGGCGCTATTGTTGGAAACCTGCCTACGTAGCCAATTGTCTTGCTAGGACTAGGGCCCACAGACCCTAGTCTGGTACAGACTGAGTCACAAACCCCTTACCTGCAGGTCCACAAGCTAGGTGATAGGAAAAAGATCCTGGGAGCCATGGGTAAAAATTAATAGGCTTTATTCAGATGCAAGCTCAGGTAGCTAGCAGCAGCTACCCTAGTAGCCTCCTGGGGTGTCCCAAGGGCTCTGGCAGCAACAGCTTGCAGCAGCAGCCTCCAGCAGCAGTAGTGGCCTCCCCATGGCCCCCCAGGGGCATCCCAGGGTGGGGCAGGGTACGCATTATGGATCAGAGCCATTCATCCTTTATACTCAAGTCGGGTAACCCAGGACACCTGGGTGCAAGTCAGACAACCAAAGAACACCTGGGCACACACGTGCAATTACATTAGACAATAACCAAGGAATACCTGGGCGCACATGCACAGTTACATATTTACATCAATGCTCGGCAAGATTCCGAACATCCGAGGGAGGCCTGACCATTTTCCTATATTTTCGCTACAAGCTTTTATCATTTGAATAGATTATATTATTATACATGTATTTTGCTTATTTGTCTGCCTCCCCATACTAGGATATAAGTGCCTTGAATGGAGGGATTCTGTTTTATTTCATGAAAAATCCCAGTGCCTAGACGGAGTATTTACCAAGTATTTGTTGAACAAGTGAATGGAAAGTAAGACCTGCCCCAGGTTCTTATGAGAATTAAATGCGATATCTGGTTTCTGTCACATAGTAAGTACTCAACAAAAGATAACTATGGTCATTACCATTATTTTAAACAAAACTAATTTTCTATTAGAGTTTTCCTTCCTGAGTTGATATCAATCAAAGATAAATGAAATGCAGAAAATACAATTAAGAAGTGATAAAATGAAGTTGTCCATATTAAAATTTTTTTTTAAAGCTTTAAAAAAAAAGTTTATATGCATCTATAATGACTAAGGGGCAGCATTGTCTAACAGCATCAACAGTGGAAGTCCAGAATCCCAGCCCGGGGTCAGCTCCACATCTGAGGTGATAACATTCCTTTGCAGTGGTCAGTGTGATGGCTTTTCAGATTTTAAGATTTCATTGNGCAGCATTGTCTAACAGCATCAACAGTGGAAGTCCAGAATCCCAGCCCGGGGTCAGCTCCACATCTGAGGTGATAACATTCCTTTGCAGTGGTCAGTGTGATGGCTTTTCAGATTTTAAGATTTCATTGAGAGGAGAGAAAGCCTTTGTCGTCCTGGCCGGTGAGGAGCCCTTGCACGAGGTCCCACATCAAGGCAGCGCGTGCGGGTGCACACTGCCTCCTCCGCTGCACAGTCATCCTAAGTGGCTTGTGGGGTGACCTTAGACCTTCGTGCTTTACACAGGGCACATGGGTGGATTTGTGGATGTTGTTCTTAGATTTAATACTATAATATGTAACACAGTGAGTTACAAATAGACCTTGGTATAGTCAGAGATGAAACAGCTGAGATTTTTTTCTCTGCATGAAACTATAGGGCTAAACAGTAAGTGTGTAGACAAAATTTGGGTAATACCATGACTCTATGTACCACAATTATCTGTCAACCTTGCCTGTGTCAGATCACAGTCTAAAACCACAGAATAAGCAAAAGAGGCTTCAGCCAACCAAAAAAAAAGTCACAAAGACCATGGCTAAGGCTTACCTGCTTTGCTCCGAGAGCTCTTAGCCCCTGGCTCAGAGACTGCTGACTTTGCCTTGAGTTGTGCTTCTGTCCGGCTTAGTTTTCTGATTTCCAAACTCTTAATCATCAAAAAAAAAACAAGGGAGTCTGAGAGGTGCCCTGCTGATAGACATCTTGACAGCAAACATAAATGACATCCTTTGACAAACAGTAGAGGAGCCAGCATCAAAATTCCAGACGAAAGAACTCAAGTTACAGTGGTCTGAAGTTTATTCTTGACACACTTGTGCTGATCTTAATCCGGAAAGACACAATCCCAAACACGGTAATCCCAAATGTTGAAATCCTGAAAGATCAAAATCCCTTAAGCCCGAAATCTCTAAAATCACAATCCCAAAATATTAAAATCCTGAATATTTTTTGTTTTGTTTTTCTCTCCCACTATTTTAAATTGTCAGCATTATTTTTTACAATTTGCTGAAATCTCTAAAATCACAATCCCAAAATATTAAAATCCTGAATTTTTTTTGTTTTGTTTTTCTCTCCCACTATTTTAAATTGTCAGCATTATTTTTTACAATTTGCTATGCTATGTATTTCATCTTTGCATCATTTTCAATACTGTCGGTACAGATAGTGTAAACTTTTAGAAAGAGTTCTAATTCGTTTTATGCATGTTTTGCAAATTTGACTCCACAAAAAAAGTGCATTACCACAACATTGACTTTGTAAGCATTTTGAGGGTACGTAAAAACATTGAAACTTCCTCAATAAATAGATGTCCTTTTTGTACATCTGCATTTGTGAAAGGTAAAATTTCTTGAAATCTTGGTTCTTTGGGCCACTGCATATGCGGTGGTGACCCATCACAGTTTTTGATCAATTTCGTTAAAAAACTTAGGTCATCCGTCATGGTATTTCAGTTATAAAGCTGGGTGCACACAATTACCAACCATAGTGCTATTTATGTACACACTTCGCTTTTTGACCTGTTTCTTTATGAAAACACTTCATCTACACATAACTCTTACACCATGCAAGTGTCGTTAGTAAACCTGAGTGTTTATGCTTGTAAAAATATGTAATTATGGCCTATTTTATTATGTAGAATGGCCATGAAATGTTGTGTCATGTTTTATATGTTTCTCAAATCCCCTTTTAAAAATGTAAATAAGTATCAATTAAATAATTTTTAAATTATTTTTTCACACTTACATATTTGGGATTTTGATCTTTCAGGATTGTGATTTTCAGGATTTTAGACTTTAGGGATTTTGATCTTCCGGGATTTCAGCACTCATGTTTATGGCATTCAGGATTGTGTCTTTTGGGGTTGTGACCCAAACATGTTCTAGTTCACGTGGTCCCCCTCTTTATCTCTCTTTTTTCACCCCTTACAGTGTACTTGTTGAGGAATTCAGGGCATGTGTCCTATATATACAGTTTCCCATAGTCTGAATTTTGCTGATGACAGCTGTATGATAGATACTATTTAACATGTTCCCTCTGATCTCTGGATTGCCCATACTTTGGAGTAGTTAGAGATTGATAGAGTTAGAGATTGGTAATTAGCATTAATTAAAAATTTGGTGGTAATTAGAGGTTTGATCAGATTCAGGTTCTACTATTTTAAAATTAGTGAAATTGGTAAACTCTTCTTTTTACAATACATGCAGGATTACAAGCTACATTATAAAGTCTAGTGTCGGGCC